TGATAATGGGTTAAACCTAGTTAATAATAATATTTCTAGATGTGACTTCCGAAAGCGTGATTACCGTCAAATAGATCTGGTAAGAAAGTAATAACAGCATGCAATAATTATTCCAAAAAGTATGAGCAATAATGTAGCATTTAATGACAATGAATAACAATAAATGACATTCAAGTAAATAGGATGACTGATTCACCCAATAAAGGATGAACTAGACGGTTGTTCCACCTGACAATGATGAGTGACAAATAAATCCTCGAATATTCGAATTATTCTCGGATCTAATGGACGAAAAGTATGGAATAATATAGACAAGAATCTTGATGAAAAGATAGTGTTTGTATCTTAGTAAAAGAGAGAGAGAGAGAGAGAGAGAGAGAGAGAGAATCTTTTGTCAAAGTGTGTTCTTACAAAATGAATATCACATGCCTCATATCATTGCCCTTTTTTTCCTATTTATATGAGACATTTTCCTAGTAAACCCTAATAGTACGAGTGCAGAGAATATCCACTAGAATATTCTCTTACGTATCCTATTTTGAAAACCAGTCGTTACAACTTCATCAGCGATGCTCGACTTCGACCATTATCAACACCTCGACCATGGCTCTCGTCGACTCTTCGGCTATAAGTCTTGCTGCTTCCTACTCTACCTCGACTAACGACGGCTCGAGAACTCTTTCTTTAGTGTTATCTTATCTTAAATATTCTATGACAGATTTTGACCCATACAGTTTATAATTTTAATACCCAAAAAAAGTATTGCTGCATTTTTTCTTGTTCAATGGATAAAGCAGGACTTTAGCTACGTACCTATCCTAAAAGCTCTATCAATGGTGATAAAATCAAATGTGATATGAACTACAACAAGAGATAATGAATAAGGAGCAGGGCCGAAGAGGTGGAAAAACCTGGAAATGTGGATATTTGTTGTATGAACTTCCTGAACAAGCAAATTTAGCTTCATTACTGCCGTAGCTAATTATGTGAAAATCAACATATATGATTTCTGGTCAACAAAGCAACTCTAATTTCAGAAGGCTGCTACTCACTACCAACAACAGATCAATTCTTGTGGATATCGATTGCAGCATTAATTCTTCAATGTATGAAAATAGTACTGTACTACTATTTTTTTTTATTATTTCGTTTTGCTAAAGTTTGCGTATGCTTTATGCGACCCAGAACTGAGGCATTGATTTGCCCTATTCTTCCATCCGTTCGCACTGGAAATTGCAATAACTTCAAGCCTTCGTTGTTTTAGCACTGGAAACAAGTTTCCAACACTAAAATACAGGGCACAATTCAAAAACTAGATCATACGAAGAACAGATCATTTTTTGTTGTTGACCCGTAAGTTAAAGGGGCTATCATTCTCATTCAAAAGGTGAAGAGAATATTATTTCCCGACTATTAAAGGTTAAGAAGGTTATATGGAATTTACACTTCAAAGTGCCCGCAGATATGGATTTTTTTTAATTTTTCTTTTTTGGGTGTGTGTGTGTGGGGGGGGGGTGTCTCGGAAAGAGGAAGTAGTAGTATTACTTAAACATGAGTACAGGGAGAATGGTGCAATAAAGGCACCTTTCATTTCTCATCAGTCCACAAACTTGTTTGGTTAAAGTTTCTTCAAAAGGACTTCTCATAAAAAGATTTGGGTATGCAACGCACCTTGAGATACTTTGAAAATAGCAAACTTGGAAAAATTACAACTATCCTAGTGTTTTCTTTTGCACAATTATTCAAAAAAAGACTTTCAGAAAACTTTACTCTGAAAATTGACCGAACCACAAGTACTGATACCACAGCCTGAAGTTGCCGGTAAAAGAGGACTGGAAAGTAGAGTGATTGATATCCCTTCTAATCGGGGAAGTGAAAATATGTTTCATTTTCCGTATGATTTTTAAGATGATCTAAATAAGTGAGTTGGAGACGAGTTACCAAGAACTTCGTAAAGGGGTGTCAAATATAACAATGAATGATTAATCACCAAACTTACCCAGACTTATTGAAGAACAGAAAAATAAATTTCTTCGAATTTGGTTTGTTTGATAAGAGTGATGATAGATAAAGGATAAAGCTTTTATTAGTCTGATTTGGTAATTGAACAAATTATTTTTTTTTAAAAAACAATCAAATGAAAATGAGTTTGAGTTGGAAGATTGGGTAATCATCCACATTGTTAACCCAAAATGGTCCGTTCATCTTGACCCAAGCGTACATTGAATGGGTATTGGCACAATCCTTTTATATTCGACCTGTTTTCCTGTTTTGATCCACCCAAACATAGCCTAACCCACCCGTTCTGAAATCCCTAGCTGTGTCACGCAATTAAGCTGATCCAAACAGATCATCACATTTTTCTAATCATTAAAGTTCCACAAGATGCATTTCAGACATCAAAGCCATTGTGGGCAATTGAAGTATACCTTCCCCTAACATATGATCAATGGCCAAGAAGCAGCAAAACCGAGGATGTATACTTAGATGAACAACTGTTTCCACTTAGATGTGAAAGGAAACATTACAGTGTATTCCAATTTGAAACTAAATAAAATTATCCCTTTGAATAATTTCAAATTTAAATGATAAGCCATACCCATAAGCATCTAATATCTGTCCTGCCACACCCCTCAGCATCCAATATCTGTCCTGCCACACCCATCAGCATCCAATATCTGTCCAGCCATACTCATCAGCATCCAATATTCTGCCATACCCAAAGACAACGAGTTATTCACCAAATAAACTGAAGAAAAAAGCACATGAAGCACTTTCAACAACCACAAACCTCCCGTCATCCTATTCCAGAAAGGATTTTTAAAAAAAAGGATGAAAAAAAATTATCTTATGGAATAACTGTAACAGGAGAGAGAGAGAGAGAGAGAGAGAGAGAGAGAGAGAGAGAGAGAGAGAGAGAGAGAGAGAGAGAGAGAGATATTTCCGTTTGAACACCAACACTTTTTAGTTGCAAAATATTAACTGGAAACACAATTCACATGGTATATGGTAGGAAACTTCACTCAAAAGTAACCTTGACAGCAGAACAACTTGAAGTTTGCACATTTTGCTTGTTTTATTAAACCTTTATGCGCTCACCGTCGATTCTAACTCAAATGTGCAAACAAATCTAAATGGAGTAGGACGAAAATTCATAACCAAATATCTGCTGATACAGAAGGAACTCTGCCATTCAACCTCTGTACCCTTTTTTATTCCTTGAACATAATAGCTCTCTCCCTCTCTCCACACGCGCACACACCCTTTAGATGCTCAATCCTTTAGTGTTTCCTTTTCAGTCTAAGAGGAAGGTGAAGTACTCGAAGAGGATAGAGGTAGGTCAGCAGCAATATAAACTACAGGTAGCTCATAGATTTAAAAAGAAAATAAGTAAAACACAGTCCAAAATTATTATGAACACTTACTATCTTCTAGAGCCTGATGAAATCCCAACATTCCTGAAAACATAAAATTAAATAAACAAAACTTGGGATGAGATACTGTTAATGGTGGCACTGGAAGCAAAACGATAGCTCTTCAAAGTTTAAACTTTATGATAATAAATACCTGCCCTGTTTACTGACTAAATTTACACCAGGCCTCCCATGAGATGAAACCTTGTTTTGTGAGCTACCCATGTCATTTTTGTCAGCATTAGTTCCATTCCCGCTGGTCAATCGTACAGATGAGGCAGCCCTCGATTCAGATAAGTTTAGATCCATCTGGTCTCTTGGCTTTGTCAAAATTTTAACATTTGAGATGCCTCCAGTAACGTTGAAAGAGGCACCATTAGAAATCTGACTTTGAATGTTGTCATTAGAATTTGCTGGTCTGATGACAGCATAGTCTTTGAAAATCGCCTTCTCAGATGCTGGTTCAACTGATGGTACCCTCTTCAAACGGTGACTTTGTGGCATAGGGGTGACAGCAATAGGAGGCAAAAGAGAGGAGTATGACGATGGTGCTGCAGCTGCAGCAGCCACTTTAGCAGCAGCCGCTGTGGCTGCTATAATTTCTTGAGCACCTTCTCGAAGTTGAATGAAGTCTCCATCAATTACAAATAACTAAACGTAGAAAGATCAAATTAGTTGCTGATAAAGCACAAGCTCATTAGAGATTCACTAAACAGAACAGTGTTATACATACTTCAGGATGGTTTGCAACAAATTCATCAAGTTTCCCATACTTCTTTTTGTAGTCATGCCAGTGCAATGGGGCAAGCATTTTACCAAGTCTATTAGGAAGCTGCACATCAGACAATGCATTAGGAACTGGAATCATAAATAGACACAAAAAGAATCACTAGAAACTATAAGGAATTAGGAAGTGACAGAAGCCAAAAAAAGCTATCACACTATTTAAGTGTAACTAACCGTAGAACTAATCCTGATTCTACCGCCAGAACCAGGTGGAATAGTGCGGACTATGCAAGCCAGCAATGCTTTTTCATCCAGGAGATTAACCTCTCCTGGTCTGACAACAGCGTATGCATTCTTCTGTCCCCCAGCAACATATGTTTCAGTTAAAACAGCGCCTGACATGGTATCCGTCACTGATTCAGTTGAATTATTTGCAGTATATGGAACTTCAGCTGATGATTTATCGACATTTGCACTAAATTCCCCCATTCTTAAACCTTGAGACTCTAACATGTAATTAGCTGAAGAGTTGACATTCTTCACCTGCAGCATTGACAGAGAACACAAAATAGATGATTCTGCTTATTCACATCATTTAAACCCCCCACCCTTCCGGCAAACCATAACAACACAAACACAAGTAGCCACCAAAATGTAATTGGGATGCTGCTCCTTTAGAGAATGTTAGAAGTACCTCTGTCTCATTGTCATGTTGATGAGAATCCAATGTTAAAGCACCATTGAATTGTGAAGAAATCTGATGCAAAGTCTGCTGAGTCTGGATGCGGGAGAGGTAATTCTTATCCACAGACTGAAGTTCCTACAAAATTATCGTAGGTCAAGAAATTATGCATACAAAACAGGAGAAAATTTCAGGTAACTGCAGGCAATAGACCTGTTCCTCTTCACTCGAAGCTGGAACCACTGGATCCTGAATTTCACTTCCTTGGTTCATGTTGCCATCCCCATAATCAGAACGAAGAGTTTGCCCATTGACAGTTGCTTCATGATCATACTGAGAATCTGATCCTGGCAAGGTTGATTGAGGTTGCAACGAGTACTGATTGTGACTAGAGATCTGTGAATCCTCTGTTACAGCCTTGAAGACCAGAGAAACAGCAATTTATCTTTCTAACTTAAGCAAAAGTAACAGTGAGAACTAGAGCAAAATTCTCTAATTACCTGTTGGTTTGGCCAATGCTGAAGAGATGACACTGCTGGAACTGAGTGAAAATGTCCAACATGAGATTGAGGAACATGTGATGGTAAAGGAGGAGGAATCCCCTGTTGATGCATCACGTATGGATGCAGAGCGGTAATCTGTCCTGGTGGGAGGTAGGTTGTCATCCCAAGCAAGGACGTAGGAGCAACTGCCATACCATGGACTTGATCCGACTGGTGGAACCACAGAAAAGTGATCATTAGTTGTTGTGAGCACAGAAGTAAGGAGAATCAAAACAGACTTAGAACAATGTATCTTTTTCTCTTTTTTCTGTTCTTTAAGAGGGCGTGTGCCAATGGGTTTAAGTTATTCTTGTCATTTAGTGTCTTACTATCCATAGACAGCAGTAGCTCCAGATAAAATGCAAACATGGCTACATAGTTCTGTTTAAACACAATCTCTTGGCAAGATTCTAGGGAAAAAGGTTTATCAAAATCGCATAAAACAATGATAATGAAGCCGGCCTCTTTTCTGAAGCTAAAGAAGTAAACCTTGATGCCAAGATTACACCTCTCATGAGTATCTGTTGACCGATTTAGAAGGTAGGGTACCTACATGCTAGGCATAATTCATGGTTCAACTATCAAAAGCAATCAAACAAACTTACTAATGAAACTACAAGTTTTAAGGGCAATGAGGACTTTGAAATTCAGCTCATAAGGTAAAATTTTCTAGTTCTTTGGCAGTCTTGGGTGGAATGTTATATAGATCTCAGTTAAAAGAATTTATACAGAAGATATAAATCCAATGTGCTCATCTATCAAAAAATGATGGAATTAAGTGCCATAGACCAAAAGCGGCTAGAACTCATGATAACTACAGCATAATATTTGACCATACTCGGTATTAATTCAAATACAATACAGAAGATGCAGTAAGTGCCCATTTTCCAATTTCAGACCATTATTTCCAACTAACTTCTTCAGAAATAGAAACCACCTTGAGTCTTGTCAAGTCATGAATGACAAAGAAAAGATATACATGAGGCACTTGCACAGTACTCCTACAGCAAATAGCTAAACCCTTATCATAAATTCTATTTACAGTGCCTATAACATTGATACAACCGACATACTCCTAGAACATTCAGCTGTGGTCAAAAGAAAAATGTGAATAGAACAGTGATTTGAACCTGAGTTGACACATTCCCAGTTGAAGTAAACGATGGAGCATTTTCAACATTTCCATTTTGCAGGCCCATCGTATTTTCACCAGGTGTACTGCTTCCACTAGCATTAAGTTGGCTACCATTGCTCTGCCCAAGATGACTAGCATCTTTAGAATTCAGTTTGGAGACTTGTGAACCATCAGAGTAAGTTCCACCTCTTGCCTCAGCCAATTCAAGTTGGAGCTGCTGCATGTGCATATGCATGCGCTCCATCTCACCAAACTAACAGAAAAAGAAATCTTGTCAATACAAGTAAACTGCAACAAAATTATGCACTTAAATCACTCCAATGAAAAGCATAATCAGTCACATAGGACCATATAATCAAGGGTATTCCTAGTAAGAGCAAGTGAATCAACTGAAGTCGACGAATCATTAGTGAAGCACCTGTCTTTGACAGCCAAGCCAAAGCTGGTTATATTGCTCTGCGCGCTCCCGTAATTCAGCTTGCTGCAAGGCATCGACTTCTTGAACACGAGTAATCCAAGCCTGGGCCTCCCTTATTTGTTCATCTTTGAAAAGGATTGTTTCCTGAGCTATCCTATTCTGAAAAATTAACAGTGTTAACCATTAGTCAGAAAATGAAACACCACCAAGAAAGCATACCACTTAAAGAGGCCAAAAATGACAGCATAACCATGGTCTTCTTACACTACAAGAAAGGCGTAAACTCCACCCCCAATGAAATATTAAAAAATTAAAAAAAGAATACCACTGTGCCAGTACTTATTGGGTACATTTCACAAATGAGACACAAAGATATTTGCAAAACATTAACAAAATTCTACTCATAGACTACACTGGCAGGTGGA